ACTCTTTTTCCCGTGCAGTACTTCCCAGAAAAAAAATAATTTTTGAAAATGTTCACAATTTTTACATTTCTTTCAATGAGATATGGATATTTCAATTAGTAATTACTTGAACAAACAGGCGCTCGTGAGGTGGCGTTTTTGCTACTAATGATTAAATACAAATAACAGCACGGCCATCCTTAATTTTGTAAATCTTACAACTGAATCTCGCTACTCAAGATTTAAACATTATAATTTACAAAAAAAACTGTTTGCTTTATATATCATAGGTTATTCAGCATAAAACTTACCACAATGTAAATTAAACATTACTCAACATAAACTTACCAAAATATAAACTAAACATTATGCAATATAAAACTTACCAAAATATAAACTAACATTACTCAATATAAAACTTACCAAAATATAAACTAACATTACTCAACATAAAACTTACCAAAATATTAACTAACATTACTCAATATAAAACTCACCAAAATATAAACTAACATTACTCAATATAAAACTTACCAAAATGTAAACTAACATTACTCAAAATAAAACTTACCAAAATGTAAACTAACATTACTCAAAATAAAACTTACCAAAATGTAAACTAACATTACTCAACATAAAACTTACCAAAATGTAAACTAACAATATTCAATATAAAACTAACCAAAATGTAAACTAACAATATTCAATATAAAACTCACCAAAATGGTCGAAGGTTCTCCATTCATAATTAGTTTGATTAATGGATATTTTAAAGTTCGAAGGTTCTCCATTCATAATTAGTTTGATAAATGGATATTTTAAAGTTCGTAGGTTCTCCATTCATCATTAGTTTGATAAATGGAATTTTTGTACACATATAAAAAATGTGAAAATTGCAAAAATAGGACAGATTTTTCCGTAAATACATAAAAAAAATATTGGAAAGTTATTTCATATGTACAAAATCAGCCTTCCATCATAAATACTTTCAATCACTACTAAATTGGTCGCATTAAATGTTGTGAAAACTGGAATGCAGTTTGAATACTGGAACTTGTTATTTTTGTTCATGATCCCATTCGAGTTTGTTTGGTTGTTTTAGAGCAAAGCCACATTAGGCTATCTGCTGTGTCCACTGCGTTGTAAGTCCGTAGACATACTGCTGTCTCGTCGATGGTTTAACCCTACTGGACGCATCACATTTTTTAGGAAATCACTTGTTTGAAATTTTAAACTTTGAGCCACTTCTGGTTTTTTCTTGGTGGTCATCTTTAGCTGAAGAAGTTTTGAACAGAGCTGATCGATTGCGTTTTTTTCCAGTTTCGACAATCTTTCCATTGGAGAAAACTTCGTTAATTTCGGCCAGTTCTTTTGCTCTCTGTCTTTCTTGAATTTTTTGTCGAAGAGTAAGTAACGTTGAAGGGCTGGCGCCGGTTCCATACTTTACGTGCTTACCAGTTAAGATTCGATTTTGTTTCTTTTCGGCACCGTTCACGTTTTCGTCTTCCACCGGTAAATTATCCTGTTTGGGAGAGCTTGCGGCCAAAAACTGAGGCGTACAAGCAGGCGAAGGTGAGAGGCGGAAGGTGCTCTTCACTTCAGCTGGTGTTCCGGTTATGGCTTCGTGATTGTGATACATCTGCATTAGATAAGTGTAATATCCGTACACATTCCAAGGATATCCGGACGGTGTTATTTGGCGTAATTTCTTCAAAAGAGTATTTTTGTCATTGGAGGTAACTAATGACGTAGCGTTCACTGATTCTAAGGTAGAAAAATCAGAAGGGTTAACCAGAGAAGGGTCGCAATAGTTGTTGCCACGATTTGTGAGACTTGTTGAATGTTTAGCTACTGTTGTTACGAGGGGCTTTGGATTGCGTAATGAGTTGGAAATATTTTGGCTTAATGGAGAATGATAGTAATTGTAATAATTTCTTAATAATCCCTTGTCATTTTCAGGAGATATCGAACAACTACGACTTCCCATTAGGTTCCGATTAAAATCCTTATCTCGTAAAGAATGTTTTGACCATAGAGATGAATCTGTTTTAAAATTGGGTGAAGAACTTGGCGTTTCGCTATCTGATTTGCTTCTTGACCTGTCTAAAGCGTGACACCGTTCTTGCTCCATTGCATTGCTGGAAAAACTACAAAAGCTTGCTGACCTTCTAAGTCCAGTAAAACTTCGAATGTTCTCCGATCTCAGTGCTATACTAACAAATTCTTCTAAACGTCGATGAGAATTATTAACAGACAGATCCTCTGGTAACTCCTCCTCTTCAAGCACGTCATCGTGTTCGCACCTGTTTGGGAGAGTTTGTGATACTTTAGCCGTATAACTATTTTCACCATTAACTCTGTTGGAATGTGGGAGCGAAGACTCCGATACATTAAGTAAGTCGTTTTTAGTAAGACAGAATACTTCGTTAAAAGTATTTGAATCGCTTTTACTGTTCCTAGAACTGGATCTGGAATCACACTGCTGAACTACCCGCCTATCCGGATAGCAACTGTAGACGTTTCCTTCTTGAGCTTTCCTGCTTTCATCCTCACTACTGCGGTCCAGAATTTCGTCATTTTCAACTGAAGACAGTTTTTGAAAATTGTTACGCCCCGAGGTTTCGACAGGGAGAAGATTTCTCTTAGGGTAAGGGATTCGAAGAAGAGCATCGCATACAAAAGGAACACTCGAAGATGACAAGATAAACGGAGTTTGGGACATTTGCTCTTGAATATCTTCAATGTTTGAGTTTTCTGTGATTAAATGTCCTCGAAATTCTTGCGGCTGAACTGAAGAGGACGACACTGCAGAGGGCGCGCCATTAAAACTCGCAATCTTCGGCCATTTCGTCGAGGTTGGGTCTTGTACACTCGTGATATTCTTTTCTCTGAGGTTATTTGCATTTCTAAAATATTTCGTTTCCCATTTCTTAACGCGATTTTCTGTGACAGATTTGAGACTGAGATCTATTGGTCCATTTTGTTCTCGAAAATAAAAAACGCCCGTTTTATCCATGATGTGTCGTTCTAATATTCCAAAAAATTATAATGCAAAATTCTTCAACATGATATTTAAACAGCTCATAACAGATTTCATTTTCCGCATGACAACCAATAAGAGCTTATATATATATATATTTTTTGAATAATGAATTTGACCTTCATAGGGCCTGGTTTGACGTTCGGGAATGTAAAGATAAGAATCATTTGCCTGGTAGAGCTCTATCAAGTAGTGCCCGTACAGGGAATGGAACAGGTACCCCAGACACACTGGTTGCAAGCTCGCCTTTTTTTCTTTTTTTTTCCCTTGACCCTATATTTTCTCTGCAGACAGCGAACTCTCCAAGGTCACCCTAGCGGATGCTCAGCCGACAGCGATATTTGTGGCATGCGCTGAAAGAGACCAGGGTGGGGCTTGCTACATAAAACTGTCGAACAACTGACACAGGTTCAGAGAACATTAGCTATCACACGTGGAGTCCGAATTGGCGTGATTTAAATGGTTTAAAATGTTTGTTGCTGAAACGTGCATCGTTCTTCAGAGGAGTTCCTGAAAAATATATATATATATATAATGTAATTTATAACAATACAAATAGGACACGTTATTTTAATGATCTAATTTTAATATTGTTATTAGTTTGGTGAATATTATCGTAGTCATTTCATTAATTACGAAATACTTTCTTAACTTTCAGACACGAAACTGTAAAGAGAAAATGAATTAATTCTAAACTACACATATATATAAACATAAATAATTCAATTTGTAAAAACAGAAACTAAACTTGTCATTTCTCTATCTATGTCAGTGATTCTCAAAGTGTGGTCCGCAGACTGGTCCATTATGCAAGTGACATCAAAAGCATTGTCATTCTCCCCACTAATACAGATGTTTTTTTTTGCGATGATAAGCGAAAGCGGGTGGGGTAGGACCGGTAGGTGGTCCGCAGACGAAGAAATTTGAGAGCTACCGATCTATATAACGAAAACGTATGTATAGAATGTCACAGTCATAGCCGGTAAGTCTTTTATATTATTTTGAAAATCCACAGGTTGAATATAGTTGTTGAAACACTGAGAAAAAAAAAAGCCCACAATTAAAAAACAAATATGGTTTGGCGTTCCTAAAGACAGTCATATAAACACTGGTAAAATATCAGTTGAAAATAGACAAGACAAATATTTCAAAATATGGTTTAAAATAAGTAATTGCAGAGAGCTAAACACTTATAAAAGTATCACAGATAAAAAAAATACGGTTACCATGCATAAAGGCAGAGAGTTGAATTTTAAAAAAATATGGCTAACACACATAACAGCAGACAGCTAAACTTTAAAAAAAAAAGGTTAACATGCATAAAGGCTAACAGTTCAATTTTTAAAAATACCCTTAACATGCATAAAGGCAGACAGTTCAACTTTAAAAAAATACGCTTAACATGCATAAAGGCAGACAGTTAACTGTTAAAAACTATGGTTAACACATATAGAGGCAGACAGCTAAACTTAAAAACGGTTAACATGCATAAAGGCTAACAGTTCAATTTTTAAAAAATACGCTTAACATAAATAAGGCAGACAGCTAAACTTAAAAACGGTTAACATGCATAAAGGCTAACAGTTCAATTTTTAAAAAATACGCTTAACATAAATAAAGGCAGACAGTTAACTGTTAAAAGTTATGTTTAACACATATAGAGGCAGACAGTTAAACTGTTAAAAATTATGGTTAACACATATAGAGGCAGACAGTTAAACTTAAAAAAACGGTTAACACGCATAAAGGCTAACAGTTCAACTTTAAAAAATACGCTTAACATGCATAAAGGCAGACAGTTAACTGTTAAAAATTATGGTTAACACATACAGAGGCGGACAGTTAAACTGTTAAAAATTATAGTTAACACATATAGAGGCAGACAGCTAAACTTAAAAAACGGTTAACACGCATAAAGGCAAACAGTTAAACTTTTGAAAAATATGATTAACACGCATAAAGGCAGACAGTTATTATTTTATATAGGAAAGATTTCATGTACACTTCCTCTCTCACGCAGTTCACTGTTCCTGGGATTGGTCTGGCAAACAGTGGATAACTTTATTATAAAACATTAATTCACAAGCAACTGTAATTCATCTTTTTCTTCTAGATTTTAAATCAAGATTCTTCACATAAACGTAATACATATTTTCCTAATCTATAAAACTCTGAAGTTTCACGAAACATGTCGAAAATAAAATGTAAGTCCTGCAGAAAAATGAAAAGTTAAAGGAGGCAATAACACTCATTCGTGCTGATAATTATAATAATAGCACTGATTAATTTTTTTCATTAAATTCAAATACAAAATTATATATTTTTTCTGTTTCCAGTATCTTTAGTCATTTATTTCCACCACTTTCTTTCAAAATTATGAGTTATTTTTAGGTGTGTTCAGACAAAGGCAACATTCACAATTTTGGGCAACATTCACAAACGCATTATTATAAAATTATAATTGTGAAATAATGAACTATGAACGTTGTGCTACGTAATTTTGTTTGTTTGTTGTAAAGCGGAAAGCTAAACAATGGGCTATCTGATCTGTTCCCACTAGAGGTATCGAAACTCGGTTTTTAGCCATATAAGCCTTCAGGCTTACCGCTGAACCACTGGGAGGCATGTCTTACGCAATGTCATTATTACATTAAATATTTGATAATTTCATTCTGCCACAAATACCTAATATTCGTTACATTATTAAAGTAGAAAAAAATATTATTCGTTAACTGCTGTTAATTCAAATGTTTCCAACTTCAAAGTGTTAAACTTTCAGAAAAACAAAAATATTTGTGCGCTCGCGGCAAATTAGATCCATTTAACACTGTAAACAAATATATATAATGTTTCTCTTCGCCGTATATGGATTACACAAACAGTCCGCTTTTGGTTTTGTGAACTATCTTCGGCTTTGAAAAATGGATTTATACCACTCGATAAAAGACCATTAGCCCCTCAGTGGCACAGCGGTATGTCTGCGGACTTACAACGCTAGAATCCGGGTTTTGATACCCGTGGTGGGCAGAGCACAGATAGCCCAATGTGTAGCTCTGTTCTTAATTAGAAACAAACAAACAAGAAGACCATTAATCTAATTTTAAATTTGGCCCCCATTATGTGTCTCATTAGTCTCCATAATTAGGAAAACCTGGAACAAGGACTGTCGTTAGTTCCTTACATGTTGAACAAGGACTATCGTTAATTCCTTTCATGTTGAACAAGGACTATCGTTAATCATTTTCATGTTGAACAAGGACTATCGTTAATTATTTTCATGTTGAACAAGGACCATCGTTAATTCCTTTCATGTTGAACAAGGACTATCGTTAATTATTTTCATGTTGAACAAGGACTATCGTTAATTATTTTCATATCGAACAAGGACCATCGTTAATTCCTTTCACGTTGAACAAGAACTATCGTTAATTCCTTTCACGTTGAACAAGGACCATCGTTAATTCCTTTCATATGGAACAAGGACTATCGTTAATTCCTTTCATGTTATAAAAGGACCATCGTTAATTCTTTTCATATGGAACAAGGACTAGCGTTAATTCCTTTCATTCTTTATTAATTAGAAATTATTTATTATCATTATTTTAAAAACGTAGTCTTAGGAAGATACAAAGATGTAATTAATTTCTAATTTATTTTTTATTTTCAGTGTAGTCCCCTAGCGGCTCAGCGGCAAGTCAGAGGGCTTAATAACGTTAAAGGTCGGGGTCCGATACTCGCGGTGGCCAAATCACAGATGACCCATTTTTGTAGCTTTGCGCTTAACAACAAACGTTGGCGTAAGGAAATTAAATCAAAAATTAAAGTCTAGAAATATAATGGCATTATTACACGAAGGTTAGTAAACGCAGGTGTTTGTTTAAATCTACTTCCTCTTGCAGGTGTTTGTTTAAATTTACTTCCTCTTCTTAATTAGAGGAAGATTATCAGTTTGGCCTTTTTTATCACGTTTAGCTAACTTCTGTTAAGAAAGTGTTTGAAGTTAGTTTTGTTGTTAGTTTCCATGAAGAATCAAAACTGGTTTGGAAACGTGGAGAGCTGACATGTTAGTTTTATGTTGAGTAATGTTAGTTTACATTTAGGTATGGTTTTATATTGAGTATTGTTAGTTTACATTTTGGTGAGTTTTATATTGAGTATTGTTGGTTTACTTTAAAATATCCATTTATCAAACTAATT